GTGAAAGAGAGTGTGAGTGAAAGAGAGAGTGTGAGAGTAAAAGAGAGAGTGAGAGGGAAAGAGAGAGAGTGAGAGGAAAGAGAGAGTGTGAGAGTGAAAGAGAGAGTGTGAGAGTGAAAGAGAGAGTGTGAGAGTGAAAGAGAGAACTGTGAGAGTGAAAGAGAGACACTGTGAGAGTGAAAAGAGAGAGATAGTGTGAGAGTGAAAGAGAGTGTGTGAGATTGAAAGAGATAGTGTGAGAGTGAAAGAGAGAGTGTGAGAGTGAAAGAGAGAGTGGAGTTGAAAGTGAGTGTGAGAGTGAAAGTGAGAGAGTGAGAGTGAAAGAGAGTGTGAGAGTGAAAAGAGAGAGTGTGAAAGTGAAAGAGAGTATGAGAGTGAAAGAGAGAGAGAAAGTGAGAGTGAAAGAGTGTGAGAGTTCAAAAGAGACAAAGAGAGTGTGAGAGTGAAAGAGAGAGTGTGAGAGTGAAAAGAGAGATGTGAGAGTGAAAGTGTGAGAGTTAAAGAGAGAGTGTTAGAGTGAAAGAGAGTGTGAGAGTGAAGAGAGACAGTGTGTGAGAGTTGAAAGAGAGAGTGTGAGAATGAAAGAGAGTGTGAGAGTGAAAGAGAGAGAGTGTGAGAGTGAGTGAGAGTGAAAGAGAGAGTGTGAGAGTGAGAGAGTGAGAGTGAAAGAAGAGAGTGTGAGAGTGAAAGAGTGAGAGTGAGAGGGAAAGAAAGAGAGTGAGAGGGAAGAGTGTGAGATTGAAAGAGAGAGTGTGAGAGTGAAAGAGAGAAAATTGTGAGAATGAAAGAGAGAGAGTGTGAGAGAAAGAGAGAGAGTGTGAGAGTGAATGAGTGAGACTGAAAGAGAGTGTGAGAGTGAAAGAGAGACAGAGTGTGAGTGAAAGACAGAGTGTGAGAGTGAAAGAGAGTGTGAGAGTGAAGAGAGTGTGTGAAAGAGAGTGTGAGAGTGAAAGAGAGAAGTGTGAGAGTGAAAGAGAGAGTGAGAGTGAAAGAGAGAGTGTGAAGTGAAAGAGAGTGTGAGAGTGAAAAGAGAG